TAAGATAGACAGCAGTAGCAATCTGGTCAGAATGCCATCTCTGATGTCTGTGCTGGACAAAACACTACTGTAAGAATGCAACTCCATCAGTGACCTAGCCTTCCCTTCTCATTGTTACCGTTATTAGGTATTGATTCATTTTTTCTTTTTTTTTCTTTTTTTTTTTTTTTTGTGAGGGTTTTGCTAAAGGGCGCGTTGCTTTTCCCGCAGGGCGCGTGCACTTGCCAGACAGACAGAGAGAGACAGAAAGACAGAAAGCAGGAAATCATCCCCCGGGGGGGATGGCCACGCCGCAATCCCTTCTCCTCCATTCTCCTCTCAGGATCTTGGGTACGCACGCACACGCGCCCGTACGTACTGATTCTTGAGACTTTGTCTTTTTAACTATTACAGATGATGAAATGGAAAGTACACCTTAAGTCACTGTGCTGTATACTGAAATACAAAATTGCCTCAAGGAAAGCATGTATGTAATTTTTGAGTTGTGAATTGAATTCATTGCTTTTTCATAAAATATTATTTTTACTGGAAAAAAATGACAAAGTTTGGCAGGAAACTTTCTTGAAAATAAAGTGAGCCTGTAACTTTAATGAAAACAACTTGTAGTGTGTGTTTTCAATGATAAAATTCCAACTTTCAGGTGAAAATCAGAATTTTAGAACGCTTGTTATCTGTCACTGTGAGCTTGATGGCTTTCCAGTACTCAGATACTCCTGATGAGATTATTGAGACACTATTGTGAAAGTGAATAAAGTCTAGGAAGAAGGACTGGGGGACTGGAGGTAGAAAAGAAATGGAGCTGAAAAGCAGGATCAGGATCAAAAAACGGGAGGTGAGAGTGAAAGACAGGTGTGTAAAGTGGTAGTGCAGGAAGAGAACCTTTGGGCAACAGATATGTAAGAGGTGACAGGGCAGTTTTTCCTTCTCATCTTCTTGAACTCAAATTCTCATTGCTGCCAATGCCACCTGCTTCTACCCTAGACCACACTGTCAAGTTTTCACTCCTGCTAAAAGTCCTCAGTTGGGAAGGTCAGGAGGATATAGGATGAACGTTGTCCTTTCTTCCACTATCCCTTGCCATTGGTTCCTTCCCAACCCTGCCATCCATCAGGCTGGTGCCAAAAAAAATCAAGGATCAGAACTTTGAGGAGGAGAGGATGACAAGATACCTTTCTGGCAGCAGGGCCATTTGCTGTTACAAGAGGAAAATCTAGGTCTGCCCAAAACATTGAGGGTATAGTCAGGGCAGTAGCTATCAGTGCAGTGCTGTTGGAAAGACCCACACCCAAGGCAGCCAGTACAGGACAGAGTCTGAAAGCAATTCAGTTAAACTGCGAAATAACGTAAGGCAAATTGTACTGCTTTATCATGTTCAGAACGTTATGTTTGCACAGTAACTTCCTAGAAATGTTCCTTTCCCTCTAACTGTATTTTGCTAAAATTTAAAGGGAATTTTAAAAAGCTAGCCAGCTGACTAATTAAAGAATATCTTTAGCTAATTCAAACTTTTAAAGATCACAAAAGCTTTGCAAAGTTATCCAAAAGTCGGGGCCAGCAGATGGTGTAGTGGTTGAGGTGTTGGACTTTCACGTGGCTGATTGTGGTTTGAATCCTGGACCTCGTAGCTTGCTTTCTTGCTTTCCCTTTCTGTCTCTCTCTGGGCAAATTAAAAAATAAAAATAATAATAAACAAAATTAAATAAATAATTCTAAAAAAGTAAGATATTCAAAAGTCTACAGAAACTAGCCACTAATAGCTCCTTTCAGTTGCTTATAGACCAGAGACTATTTCTTTATTTCTTTTTTTAGGTTTTTGCCATAGGGTGTATGTGCTTTCTAGAGGTAATGTGAGAAATCACCCCCTGGGAGGAATGGCCATGCTGCAATCCCTTCTCCTCCATCCTCCTGTCAGGATTTTGGACACGCATGCACACATGCCCGGCATGATTTTTAAGCCACTGGGTCTAGGACTCGAACTGTAGTTGGCCATGTGGGAATTTGGTGCCTTAACCACCATGCCACCTGCTGACCTCAAGACTATATCTATTTTAATATCCAATTAAGTCTAAATATATTTTCTATTAGAAAATGTTGTGGGGGACCGGCAGGTGGCCTAGTGGTTAAGCGCGCTAGGCTCCCATGTGGCCAACCACAGTTTGAGTCCTGGACCTGGTGGCTTGCTTTTTCATATTCCCTTTCTCTCTCTTGCTCTGTCCCTCTCTGGCCATATTAAAATAGGTAAGTAAATAAATAAAGTTAAGGGACTAGAAAGTGGTGTGGCGGTAAAGGTGCTGGACACTCCCACATGGACAACCACAGTTCATGTCCTGGACTTGGTGGCTTGCTTTTTCATATTCCCTTTCTCTCTCTTGCTCTGTCCCTCTCTGGCCATATTAAAATAGGTAAGTAAATAAATAAAGTTAAATAAAATAATTCTTAAGAGAAAATGTTGCCTGTCACCGATCCCAGTTGCCATCTCCCAAAACCTTTTCACTAATTAAAAAAAAAAAAGATAGCTTTCATTAACTTTTACCCATGACAGATCAAGAAACTTATCCTGGGCCAGCTCCAAGGCATAGTGGTTAAGGCAGCTGGATCTCACATGGTGAAGCTTGGCTTTCAGTCCTGGACCTGAGAAACATGTGGGGTCCATGTGCCCAAAATCCAAAAAGGGAAGAGAAATGGAGAAGAGACTATGCAAGACCATGCCCCATGGGGGATACTTTCCCCTGTCTCTCTCTCTCTGGCAGGTACATGTGCCTTCTAGCAAACAAAAAGAAAGAAAAAAAGAAACACACTTGCCTTAATGGAAAAATACTAAACTTTTATCAATTAGAAAGCCATGCTGGGGCCAGCAGGTGGCATGGTGGTTAAGGCGCTGGACACCCATGCGGCTGACTATGGTTTAGTCCTCGACCTGGTAGCTTGCTTTCTTGCTTTCATTCTCTGTCTCGCTCTGGTGAGCATGCATGCCCCATAGCAAATGATATATAAATAAATGATATTTTAAAATGATAATAATAAATAAAATGAGTTTTAAAAAAAAGATAGAAAGCCATGCCAAAGTACCGCACACACAATATTGATGGTGCCTTTTCAGTAGAGAAGATGGATTTAATTCATTTCTTATGCCAAGTTTATTTTCAAAGCAGTGTATTTTTTCACTTCTGGAATCATTTATCAAATCAACAACTTGACCTGCTGAGTTGCTTTTGACCATCCAAGCAAAATAAAGAATACAAGGCATGTGTTCAGATTTCCGTAGCATTTCGGGGTTTCACTCATAACTGAATCCCCAAAGAGTGGGGTATTTTTTCCTTGTTCTTATTCCATAAATCCCTTTTGCAGTAGACTACAACAGGATAACAAAGGTGAAAGCCTTGTATTTGTAGAGGAAGATGGTTGAGTGGATTTTAAATTATAATTGACTGAGATGTATTGAAAAATCAATTACACCATGTTAACAATATCATGTTCAGAAAAAAAATAGGTGGGAAGCAATTAACCCTAATCATTTTAAACTTAAGATGGAAGTAAAGCATTTGTAAACCTCTGTTATCGAGTCCACAGAGTAACAAACTGCCAAGTATAATTTCTAAAAAGTAAGTTCACCATTTAGTAATCCTTTAGCTTGTAACACAAACATTTTATTTGTTAATTTTCACTTATATAAGAAAAAAATATCACTCTATTAGGCTTCTTCTCAATAACAAACTTTCTCCAGAGCACAAAGACAGATCTGGAAAATTCAGTTTTTAGAATTAGAATTCATTCACTGGGTACAAAAGTCCTTTAGTTGTACTCAATTTTTTTATATCTAAGGTGCCAGTGATCAGAAAATATATTATTTCATGTGAAACTAGGAAAGAAAAAAAAAAAAAGGCTTGTCAGTTAAGCTAAGAAATAAGGTTTACTTATGGCATCCTGACTTCAAGGAAAACGTGAAAATGTGTTTTAGAACCAAGGAAATAATGGAACTTTTAAACACAGCATTCAAATGTGGTAGAAGATCAGAAGGAAAGTTATCTACAAGTAAAATAAGCTTGGTACTAAAAAAAATCTACCTATATCTCTTATATTACAACAAATACTCTTAACACAATTTCTAATCCCTCAAGAAGATGAATCAAAGCTTTTAGTATCTATATGCACAATTAATAAAAGCCACCCCTCAAAAAAAAGAAACAAAACTGGATCTTAAAATTACAAGCAACTATTCAGTGATGAAAAGGATGAACACAACTGTAAAGATCAATCGTTCACTCAGAAACAGCTGGTCTTTTAGCCTATGAGACATTCACTTCATAGACAAAAGGTGCAGTGTAGTGTTACATTCCATCCCACCGACTACTACAGTAACAAAAACTGGCTCTACTATATAACACCCGCTTTTTGAATATGCTAAGTACAATAAAAGATAAAATCCTATGCTTTAAATTGAGAGGGGGGAAAGTAGTTACAATGTACATTTTAAAACATAAAAGTTGAAAGCTAACTCAATATCTTGGGTTATTTTTTTCCTTTCCAAGATTTCAGACAGACTCAAGATTCAGTGTCAGCACTACAAGCAAATTTTGTCAGTCTTGCTGGCCACACAAAATTGTCTCCAGTTTTATATAATTCATGCTAAGTACTTTAAATATTAAAACATTTACACGCCTTTTGGAATCCAAAGAATTTATTTTTATTACTTCCACTTGTGAGAATCTGGTGAGTCTCTTTTGAGAGCTCTGAACCTAAACTTTAGGAAAACAGCCCACTATAAAATGCTTTGTTTCTCCAAATCTTAACATTTTCAGAATTTTGTTCGACACATCAATTAACCAAAAACTAGCTTCCCAGCATCCCCAGCTAACTAAAACTTCTATTTTGACACAACGTTTAGAGGAAAAAAGATAAATCTCCAAAAAACAAGTAGACTTAGGACTTCAAAAAGTTCTGGTCCATTTATTCTGCAAAACCCAAGGGCCCCGAACAGGTCCCCAACCAGTTCATCTTACCTGACAGGTCACCAAGCCGGCTGCTGTGGTGGCCAGGTCAGTCTTCCCAAGTTTGCTGAGATTTCCAGAAGGGTTAAAGCAATAGTAGAAGGCCTTGCTTTGGTTTAGGAGGCTGTTGTTTAAATTTCATTCTCCTCTCCCCATCTGGTCTCTTCCCTTCCCACTCCTTCAACTTACTGCCAACCATCCTCACCACAGAAATGTAAGACTTTAGCAAATGAAAAGGAAGTTCTCCACTGTGTGTGTGTGTTGGGGGGGCAGGGGGAATGAAGAGCTCAGTCCACCTTTTAAAAATTATCTAAGGAACAACAGCCCATACAAGGACATGTCACTACTGATGACTAAGGCACAGCATTCTGTTCAACCTCTAAAGATCGAAATGGACGCAGTATCTGCTACCTAGTATTACTGTGTATTAATACACGTTAGAAATGTTCTTGCTTCAGTTCTTGAAGGTGAAGGTTTTCTGCTATTAATTCGAAACTGCAGTATACTAACTAGTAACCAAGACTACAGTGCCTTTACCTAAAACTTTTTCCCCAAAATTAAATATTTAGGATTTCTTCTATTCAGACATTAGCTTCTACAGAACCCTCCATTATGCCAAAATGCAGATTGACAATAATAAATGGCCTTTTAATACTGTATAAGTGGCCATTTGGGAAGAATAAAAACCTTCATCCCCCTTTAATACACTGCCTTCTATTAGTATGTATGTACAAATCTGTCCTCCAAACAGGGGAAAGATGGAACGGCAGAGTCTTACCACTGCATCCCCCACAGCTCCTTGCAGGAAGCTTAGAATAATGGGCATTCAATAAATGCCTAGTAAACACTCTAGTCCTCTCAAAACAAGTTGGGGCATTCCGAAACACTGACTTCACTGCTCCAGGGGCTGCCGCCGGCTCCCAATTCCAGGCTGCCTGTGGCCTTGCTCTGGTGAATAAAACCTCGAAGCTCAAGACCCAGGGTGGGGGCAAGGACACCATCCGACCCCATCCCGCAGGACAGCGCGTTCTCTGTGCATCCGCCAGGCTGTTGGTCCGAGGGCCTTTCCCACCCCTTCCCGCTAACCTACGTATCGAGCCAGAGACCCGCAGGGGCAGGAGCCCCCGCCCCACCCGGCAGACAGCCTGGCGTCGGGACACCGGGGACGCCTGCGCAGAAGAGCCCGCCTCCCACCCGCCTGGCCCCTGCGATCCGAAGGGTAACAATACCCCTTAGAAAGACAGGCAGGGTAGGCGGGGGACAGCAGTACGTATCTGCGCGCTCCCCGACACCTTGGCGCGACCCTGGTGCTCAACCGTCTCCGCGTGAGCGCGCCCGCGCGCGCCATCACGACTCTCGCTGACAGGGTCGCCTCACCTGAGCTGGGCTCCGCCCCCCTTCTCGCAGGAGGAGGCGGTGACCCCTCGTGGATCGGACCCTACAATGTCGGAGGAGGCGGAACGTCCAGACTGGCTTCTCAGTGATGGGACTTCCTACCCCTTCCACCACCCCACCCCCAGCCCAGGCCTCCTCTCGTCCCTCAGCTCCTTCAGCGGTTCTCCGCCGCACTCTGAGAACA